TACTCACCCCAAGTTCAGGTGCTTGAGTTTCTGAAGGCTGCTGATCTGTGTGGGCAGCTCCTCAATCTGGTTGTTAAAAAAGTTGAGCACTTCCAGATTCTTCAGTTCCGCTATGTTAGGTGGCACGGCTACGGAAACAGAGACGTGAGTGTGAAAACAGGCCCCTCGCTCCTCACGAGGAATGCCAGCAACAAACACACGGGCTTCTTCTTTCCCATGAAGGAGAGACGCAACTCCTGCATGGCCACCTAATTCACGTACGCTTGTTTTCTGTAGGTTTTTCTGAGGTCGTCACTCACCACTGAATAGAAATAGGAAATGTTTCTTCAGAGGGCAAGAGAGAATTTCCGTGCCATTAGCAGCCTATAAGTGAATATTGCAAAACATACATACCTGTATAACTGTCATATCATGCCTAATACAAGCAACTGTCTCCTTCCATTCTGTGTCCTTCCAGGTCCACCAAGAGAAAGAGAGTGAACTGCGGATCCCTTCCTGAGTGATACGTTCATCAAGCTATTTCAACAGTCTGATATCTGAAGAGCTATTCTCAATTACATAGCACTGAACCACAACAATGTCTGTTCAGCCTTAAAGGATGTAATAGTCAACCTACCTGGTTTCTGATTTTGACCTCCAGCCTTTGCACCTTGATCAATACACACACACACACACACACACGGGTTATATCAGATTAGCTCACCGCAGTTCTGAATCATCATTTTCAGCTTTGTAAAATGTCTAAGGTACTGATGACCTGATTTCTTTTAGAGGGAAGAAGGCCTGGTAAGAAGGAAAATACTTTCATTGGAGGAAGGGATTGTGAAAAATACCAATCATTCCAAACTCAGGTCCTTGGGACAAAGCAGTAATCCAGATGGAAAATGAGCGAGGCATGGATTCGTTACTGAAGTGCCTGCTGGTGGGGATGGAGACGAAAGGACAGATCTTAATGGGATAATGGAGGCCGCTGGGACTTACTTCCAGAAACCACACTTTTACATATCCATATGAAAGCATGTGAGCCCTACCTGTACAACTCGGCTGAGAAAGCACATTTCAGATGTGTAGTCAATAACACACTCTTATGTAAATGAATGGTATTCACTTTGGGTAAATGATCATAACGATCATAAAGAAAATCAGGCTGTGCCTGCTGCGTCACCAGGTGTTGACTTACCTGTTGTCAACAGGGACCATGGAGTGTGTGAGTGCCACAGACGACAACAGCACTGCTCAGAGACCCACCTTCTCTCCCTGCTCACCCTCCAGCTACCAGAAAGTTTCTCTCCCTACAGTCATCTGATTAGTTTGAAGAGCAATAAAGAAAGTTACTGCAACCAGGAGAAAATGATGATCTCAATTTAACCACAAACCAAGAATAATGCAGCCAGAATTACTGCTGCCTTCCCAAACTCACTCTGCCAATGCAATTAAATGCTGGTCTGAAGGTATCGCCTTTTTGACAGGATGAGAGATTATTTCACTCTCCCTGCTAAATCAGTCCAATTTAAAACCACAAATTATGCGTAATGTGATTTAGGGCTTTGTTTTGTGGACACAAACAATAACCCCACATTCAATTTACTGAACCTCTCCCAGCCTTTTGGTGCACATGTGAATTTTGTGTTTAAGACTGCATTCGAGCTAGAGGGGAAAAAATTACACAGCTAATATTCTCCCTAAACTGTGGAATTTCCCCCCCAGCTATAGTAAAAAGCAAAAGAAACTAACATTCAGACCTGTCTGGATGGGGTAGCATTCGCTCTTTCAACCGATATCTAGCGAGTGCTTATTACGTACACAGCACCACACTTCTGGCACCTAGCATTCTCACTGCTTTGGGGATAAAGAGAGGCAAACTTTTTAATGAAAGTAAGTTACAAAAGAAGGGGCAGCAGAATCAATAAATGGAAACAGGTTTAGTGCTTGGAAAGCAAACTAATCCCAACATAATGGTCCATAAACAATAACCAGCTAACAATATGAGATGTGTGATAACTATACCATATACATACATGGCAGGGATAATATATGAAAAGCTATCATGAAAAGGTGGCAGCAGTATGTCAGAATATTCTGGTAGAATTTTTCAAGGCATCTATGTGACACGTTAGCAAGAAGAAATACTTTAAAATATAACAGGGGGCATCAAGATAGTTCTTATGATGTATTTGAAATGTTCTTTTTTCATCCATCTGTCCAGATTCTGACCATGACCCTAGTAGTAACATATACAACCTACAGAAAACGAGGAGCTTAGCACACAAAAGAAACGGAGGACAGTGTGATATAGGGACAAAGGAGTCCTGGCCTGGTCATCTTGAGCTGGCTTTGGCCTCCCCTGACCAGCCCTTAAGCCCTGTGTGCCCTTACTCAACTCTCAACCTCTCTGGGTCTCTGCTTCCCCAGGCCTAAAATGAGAAGGCTGAATTATGACCACTTCTAAATTCTCTTCTGCCTGGCTTTGACATTCTGTGATTCTAAGAAGAGCTGGATTATGAAAATCAATGATATGGATTTAAATAATGCAACAAACGGGGCCCTCATTAGAAAGCTCAGTCATGTAGAACTTTGCTCATGACAGAGAATTTAGTATCATTTTCTATCTAGCAACGACGGCTGCTTTAATTTTGAGACTTCAGTTGCTAGATTTGGGAGCAAGGTCCCTAACTACCTACTCTCAGGTGTTCCTGGCTCCTAAATGCCACATTTGGCTCTGGTCACAGGATCGGGTGACTGCTGGGGATACTCTCAGGCCAGAGCTTCCACTATGTTTTGAAAAAGGCGACAAAGATCATATCACCCCAGAAACTATGCCCAGAGACTGGTCTCAGAGCATCTTCTGGCAATCTAAAAACTTGAATGCTATTTTAGAGTTTCATATTTCTGAGAGCCGTTTGCAGATCAAGACTCAGCAATCAGCCCCTGTTTTCTGATGGTTCCACAACAAGAAGCCCAAAATTCTTAGGGAGCTCAGAAATGGGGGGCCTCCAAGGGGAACCTGCTGCAGTAAGGTCTCTTTAAAAAGCTCCAGTGGGCAGGAAGCCTCAGAAAGCCCTGACTGGACACCTTGGATAGGACCAGACCTTCAACTCTAAGAAATCGCTGACCCAGCTCCACTCCTAACAGACTGACTTCTTCTAGAAGGACAGGTCTCTGTCCCATCGGTTAGTTACAAAAGGCATGGCTACCAGCAGGCGCGGCACAGTTGAAGTGTATTTACAAGATCAATGTCACGCTCAAGCACATACTCCCCCACTATCTGGCAACAGCTAGTCGCCTCCCCCAACAGAAGAATCTCAATAAACTATTGTTGTAGCACTTTGTTCTGGGATATAAAATTAATTCCATAACCAATAGCTTCTTTTTAAAAGCCTTTTAGGAGTTTATCTACACAGTAATACAGAGCAGGGTCCGCTCTGGGGCTGCGCTGTCCAACACGCAGCCTCTGGTTACATGTGGCGATTTAAGTTTAAATCTAGACTGGGAATGTAAACTGGTGCAGCCACTACGAAAAACAGTATGGCAGGTCCTCAAAGTATTAAAAAGAGAACTACCATACAATCCAGAAAATCCACGTCTGGGTATTTATCCAAACAGCCTAAGTGTTCATTGACAGATGGATTTTTTTAAAAAAATGTGATATGTATGACAAAAAAGGAAAAAGAATAAGTAAATTTAGATTAGTTTAAATTAAATAATATTAATAATTCAGTTGCCACATTTCAAGAGCTTGATAGCTACATGTGACTAGTGGCTACTGTACTGAGCAGCATAGATATGAAACACTGTCATCATGCAGAAAGTTCCACCAGATAGTGCTGCTCTAAGGCAGTGTACATCAGCCTACGGCCGTGCCGCCCTGAACACGCCCGATCCTGTCTGATCTTGGAAGCTAAGCAGGGTCGGGCCTGGTTAGTACTTGGATGGGAGACCACCTAAGAAGACCAGGTGCTGTAGGTGTAAAAAAAATAATAATAACTTAATTAATTAATTAAAGAGGTGTACATCAGAACCATCAGAGGGCTTGTTAAACCAATGACTAGGTATGGGGTTTGGGGTAAACTACAGAGTTTCTGATTCGGCAGGTTTGAGATGAGGCCTGAGAATCTGCATTTCCAACAAGTCCCCAGGGGACACTGAGGTTGTTGGTCTGGGGACCATGTTTTGGTTCAGAAAACTTTTAACTCATTGGTGACATCAAAACCATTAATTCAATACACATATCTTTTACTGCATACAATAAGAATGAATAGGATTATAATAATCAATCTTATCCAAACTAAGACTCCTCCGTCACTCTGATGTGCTACTACTGAACCTGGAGGTGGATGAAAAGCGAAACAAACAAATGAACAAAAGCACACCCTAGGTGGCCCATGTGCCCAACCCAGGGGCCAGACTTAAACCACTTCCAGAGGACTTCCGCTTCCCCACACAGACCTTTATGGTGAATCCGTATGGACAACATTCAAGGTGAAAGAAAAAAACACTGACTCCCCTAGACCATCGAATTAAGGCACTCAGCAGCAACTTCAACATGCCCCACCGTGGTCACATGGAGAGATGCCACTTGCTGTACTACTGGCCTTCGAAACACAGAGGCCTAAATGGAGAACACTGGGTGGCAGCGACAGCAGACAGCTCAGCTGGATGCAGTGGATCCGGGGGCTTTTGGAGCAAAAGCATCTTGTGGCCCCTGAGGCAAAGAAACAAAACTGTGAAGAGTGACAGGCTCGGGAAGCAGCAGGCACCACGCAAAACATAAGGACGGGAGCGCGCCGGCATGCAGCCCACGGGAGGGCCAGTGGGGCAGGCATGGTCTCCAGAGCCATATGGTCAGCACCGGCAGCCGGGGCCTCCTCAGCTACAGAAGGGTGGTAACAGACCAGGCACCAGGTCACCACCCACGGCCGCCAAAAAGCCAGAAGCTGCTCAGAACACATGTAGGCTTCCGTCATAAGCACGGGCATGAAATCCGGAGGTGAACTCCATCCACCACCTCCAGCAAACTTCTGAGTAGTTAGAAGTACGCTATGCTCAACTGTTTCTGCAGAAGCACCCAGACTGTTTTTAGCTCTGCTGATTCCTGCAAAGGAGAGGTGCTGGGCTGGAGCATGAAAAC